CTGCTCAGGCGAGACCTGTAGCTCATGAAATAATTGAAGCGCTCCATGGCAACACAGCTGTGTGGGTGTGCTGTTGGATATACCGTAGGTGCACCCAACGTGACCGATTGATTTTTCTTACCGTAAAAAAACACATTAGTATCAGGGAAACTAGTGCAAAAAACATGGTGACTAACCAGAGGCTTGTAGGAGGAGAATGAGAAGACCTTCTATTACCTCTGAACATTTCTCTGCATTCATACACCGTTCATCCAGTCAGAATGAATGGTGCCATTAAAGCTGTTTAATCATTCGCTCTTTTTGATTTTATAGCTTGATCTAATAGGTTGTCAATTGGAACTCGCCGTGTAGGACTAGTGAGGCACTGTGTGGGAAGAGGATTACTAGTTTGTCTGCTGTACAGATCTTCATTTATTAACCTCCCCCCCTCCTCCACAGCAAAGCACGATGCTAATCCCTCAAGACTCTCCACCTCTTGGAGTGGGAGTCAAGCTCGTTTTGTTCGTTCAGCTCTTGGTGAAGGCAGCTTCCGTCAGGTCCCGGGCGCCGTGTTACAGACGCCTTTAAGCCCTGTTAAAAAGCAACATCCTTTCTTTGAGAATTATTTTAGGTTTTAAAATGCTATAGTTATTTATTTAGCAAGAAGGTCAAGAGAAAAATAGGTTGCAATCGATGCAACTGTTTTTGGCCAGCAGGTTTTGTGGTGTTCCCGCTGATGTGTATTCGCTGCCCTTTCTAACGATTCTTTGTAACGAGACGTTAGACGCAACGTTTTCTCTCCGTGTTATGTGAGGCTTAGAGCTGTTTGCACAGACTGCTCCCAGTAATCCCGGCCTTATGTCTGCCTCAGCACTGGGTATTATGGACTGTCGGGGGGGGCTGCGTGACTATGGATTGCCAGCAGTTATGCCACACTGTACGCTCTTAAAGAGAAACGCTGCTAGCTCCTCACACTGTACGCTCTTAAAGAGAAACGCTGCTAGCTCCTCACACTGTACACTTCATGCTGCCTGAATGTATGCATCCCACTCCTTACAATCTGTGTCCAGGATTCCTCCAGTTATGTTCAGCCCCCCCGGTGGCTGATGGGATAACTTCCTGAACTTCCTCTACTTTTCAGAAATCATTAACATAGCAACAGTGTTGACAGTATGGATTTCATCTACAGCCACTTAAAATATACCTACTGGTGCTAAAAAACACCTGGGAGAAATGTACAAACCCACGGGGAAACAAGATTAAAAAATTAAGTCTGACAACTTTCCAGCTGTTTTTGATTGTTGTGTAGATATTGCTTCGGGCGAAACTTCAGAATCATCAAAACAATCAAACAACACCATATATTGTGACCTGCTCTTGCTGTGTGGAGGATTAACAGAAGTGAATGTGTACAGAGGTATGAAAGGTGTGTACAGCAAACACACCACCTGGGCCAGCGGGGAAAGCCCCTCCCTGCACGGGATCAGGGTGTGACCCTGTTTATAATGACCATCAGCACTTCCTGTTCCCCGTTTTCTATTAGAATGGCTCTTATTCTCCCGTTTGGAAGAAGGGAAAAGAAAGACAAGAGGTGGGAAGAGAGACAGGGCAGGTCACCCGTCGATCAGAGAGAGGGATCACCGGCAAGGGAACGATTGCTCATTTATTATTCACCAGAGCGCAGAGGACAGGGAGGCGATACAG